TTTTTTTTTTTTTTTTTTTTAACCGAAGCTAATCGAGTGTTTCTCATCACAACAATAACACAACCCTTTTTCTTTCCTCGCTTGTAGTTCGGTATCTAGTAGTCTCTTGTAGAGTTGATCCCTACAACTGAACGGTGTCCTTTCAGCTAATGTCATTGTATGCGTCTTTTGACCATCATTACTCTTTACCTTTGGTTTTTTAACAACCTTGGGCTCCTTAGAGCTTCTTGGATTTTGGCATTCTTGCACGCCCTCCAACTCGGTAAAGCACTCTCTTATCTGGAGTATGCTTGGGGCCATTAGAAGTTAAAGCAAAGATGTCCTTATTCGTAAAACATGCATCCCGCGAAACCCTCTAATACTAGAGCAAGGATGCGCTCTAGGGCGTTGCGTGGGGTGCCCCAGGGTGTGTAATGGCTATGTTTAAATGGAAATTTGGTTGTAAACCCTCTTTCCTCGGATTGGCTTGTTGTGATAGGAGATGCGATTGGAATTCGTCCACTGAGACCAACTCCAAAGTCCGGTCTTTAAACTAATAATGAAGGTTGTTCCTATTTTCTTGCCGACCCATCATTAGTCAATTTCAAAGAAATTAGAAAGTTAGCTAAATATCCTTTACACGGCTAGAGTATCATTAAGTATCTCCAAACTGTGACCAAGAGAGGTCAAAATACCTTCCAAATGAAAAATTACACAACTTATCTGAAAACGAGAGTATCACATCGGTTGGAGAAGAGAACAAAGCATTTTTTGTAAGGGTGTGGAAACTTCTCCCTATTTGACACGTTTTAAAAACCTTGAGGAGAAGCCCGAAAGGGAAAGCCCAAAGAAAACAATATTTGCTAGTGATGAGCTTGGGCTGTTACAAATGATATCACAGCTAGACACCGGGCGATGTGCTAGCGAGAACGTTGGACTCTCAAGGGGAGTGAATTGTGAGATCTCACATCGATTGGAGAGGGGAACAAAACATTCCTTATAAGGGTGTGGAAACCTCTCCCTAGCAGACGCGTTTTAAAAACCTTGAGGAGAAACCTGAAAGAGAAAGCCCAAAGAGAACAATATTTGCTAGCGATGAGCTTGGGCTGTTACAAATGGTATCAGAGCTAGACACCGGACAATGTGCTAGCGAGGACGTTGGACCCTCAAGGAGAGTGAATTGTGAGATCTCACATCGATTGGAGAGGGGAACGAAACATTCCTTATAAGGGTGTGGAAACCTCTCCCTAGCAAACGCGTTTTAAAAACCTTGAGGGGAAGCCCGAAAGGAAAAGCTCAAAAATGACAATATTTGCTAGCGGTGGGCTTGGGCTGTTACAAAAAAATAAACTCTTTTGTATAATTCCAAAGCGTCTCCAATCCCTTTCGGCCCAAATATACCGCAAAGTGCTTTACTCAGCATTCTACAGTAGAGCTTTTGATGAGCTCATTGGGAAGCCACAAGAAGGAAAAATTAGTTATAAACAACCAGTTGAACCATTTCCCCATTCCCAATTTCCTTTCCAAACCGAGATCTAAGTATTCTATAACAGTCCAAGCTCACCGCTAGTAGATATTGTCCTCTTTGGGCTTTCCCTTTCAAGCTTCCCCACAAAGTTTTTAAAACACGTTTGTTAGGGAGAGGTTTCCACACCCTTATAAAGAATGCTTCGTTTTCCTCTCCAACTAATGCGGGATCTCACATATTCTGTGCCTATATAATTGTAAGCTACTTCTAATCTGGACATAAATAATCTCACATAAGCTCTCATGATTTGTCTAAAAGGCCTCATACCAATAGAGATGTAATCCTTACTTATAAACCCACGATCGTCCTCTTAATTAGCCGATGTTGGACTCCCTCCCAACAATCCTCCCCTTGAACAAAGTACACTACAGAGCCTCGCTTGAGGCCTATAGAGCCCTCGAACAGCCTCCCCTTAATTGAGGCTCGACTCCTTTCTTTGGAGCCCTCGAAAAGTACACCATTTGTTCGACACTTGAGTCACTTTTTGACTACACATTCAAGGTTCACAACTTCTTTGTTAGACATTTGAGGATTCTATAGACATGACCAAGTAAAGGGCATGGCTATGATACCATGTTAAGACCACCGACCTCCACAATGGTATGATATTGTCCACTTTGAACATAAGCTCAAATGGTTTTGCTTATGGTTTCCCCAAAAGGCCTCGTACCAATGGAGATGTATTCCTTACTTATAAACCCATGATCATCCTCTTAATTAGCCAATGTGGGACTCCCTCCCAACAATCCTCAACAATCCTCCCCTCAAACAAAGTACACCGTAGAGCCTCCCTTGAGGTCTATAGAGCCCTCGAACAACCTCCCCTTAATTGAGGCTCGACTCCTTTCTCTGGAGCCATCGAACAAAGTACACCTTTGTTCGACACTCGAGTCACTTTTTGACTACACATTCGAGGCTCACAACTTCTTTGTTCGACATTTTAGGATTCTATTGACATGACTAAGTAAAGGACATGACTCTGATACCATGTTAAGAACCACAAACCTCCACAATGGTATGATATTGTCCACTTTGAGCATAACTCTCGTGGTTTTGCTTTTGGTTTCCCCAAAAGGCCTCCCCCACCAATGGAGATATATTCCTTACTTACAAACCAAGGATTGTCCTCTTAATTAGTCAATGTGGGACTCCCTCCCAACAATCCTCAACACCTACGATATGTATTGCAATAGAAGTTACAAGGGTTGTCAGAAGAATATTGTAACGACCCTAGTTTTCTACTAATCTAATGTCACTACTACATGCATGACATAACATCTTGTGCGGAAATATTCATTTAAAACATCTTCACAAAACAATGCAATGGGCTTACATGTTTAAGAACAAAGATCCACAAAAATGATATGTATTGCAACAGAAGTTAAAAGGGTTATCAGAAGAACATTACATTGATGAAGCAACCTTAATGTAGGCATGTAGGGCCCATCACGGATATTGAAAAAGAGTGGCACATTGTTCACAACAACCAGATTGAGATGGTTTTGACTATAAATCCAAAAACAAAATCCAACATAAGCCTCATATGATCAAATTAACAAAGAAAAACAAAGAACATCCATCATTTTCTGCAAAAATAAAAGCAAACAGAAGTTCTAACCACTTAGTTACAATCAGAGGAGCTTTTTTAGGAAGCAAATCATCCAAAACTGGCTCCAGTCCAGGATACTGCAATCAAAAGACAAAAAACAGGTAGATATCAGTTGCTATCTAATGAACATGATTCCGAGATTCGAACGGTTAAACCAATACTTACTTCTTCAGCTATGCTTTGCCGAATCCTCCGTTGCACCGATGCCTTGACTTGATTCTGGGCAGACACGTCTTCAGTAGAAAACCTACAATAAGACAGCAAAAAGAACACAATTGAAAGATTTGTACAAACAACACACTCACTCAACTCCACAAGAAAACATCCCAACTCCAAAACTATCATTTCAATTCAATGTTCAAATTCAGCAACAATGATTTATCCACAGCTGCCCAAAAGAATCAAACGAAAAAATAGAAGCAAAACAATCATTTGTTCAGGGAAAGGCAAGGCATCCCTGTACGGGTAACAATGATATCGCAACTCGAGACCATGACACATGCATAGGGCAGTTGCATTTATTTCCTTAGTCTTAGGTTAGGATAAGATGTTTTTAATTCTAATGTCTATTTATTTCATTTAGTATTTCGTTGAGTCGTTTTAAAGATGTTTTCGAACATGTAAGTCCATGACAGTGTTTTAAGATGAAGTTTATGTCTTATGTCAAAGTTTCAAATGATTATTTCTGCACATTATGACGACGATAGCAACTCTCGACAAATAGAAATCTAGGGCAAAACAATCAAACGAAAAATAGAAGCAAAACAATCATTTTCAAGTAAAGGCAAGGCCTCTACGGCTAACGACGACATCGCAACTCGAAACCATGACACGTGCATAGGATAGTTGCATTAATTCTAATATTTATTTATTGCATTTAGTATTTCGTTGTGTCGGTTTAAAGATGTTTTCGAACAAGTAAGCTCATGACAGTGTTTTAAGATGAAGTTTATGTCTTATATCGAAGTTTCAAATGATTATTTCCGCACATTATGACACATTACGACAACGATAACGACTCTCGGCAAGTAGAAATCTAGGGCAAAACAATCAATCGAAAAACAGAAGCAAAACAATCCTCTTTTCCTATGAGAAGAATCAACCCTACAAACAAATCCCCAGCGTAGAACGAGAGAGAAGACACTAATCGAGCAAAATCCAGAGACCAGTAACAAAAAGTGAAGAAATCAAACCATTTCCTCATATTTTAATCCCCGAAAAACAAAACCTAGATATCATTTTCCACAATCATCAAGCAAAGACATGAAATCATAGCCGAATAACGAGCAATATAGAGAGAACTCACTTTTTGAACATGATGCCGCAGAGTTATATGAAGAGAATCCTAATAAAAATTTCAGAAAATACAGATTGTTAGATTGAATTTGAAGAGGACTCCAGAACGATAGGAGACAATTGCTCGGATCCCACCAGAGGATCGGTGTGGAAATGGGAAGAGAGTACGCAGACGTCGAGAGAAGATTTACCGGCGGAGAGCGGCTGCGTGTGTATTAAGCCGGTCGGAACTCTTGGGCCGGAAACTTGGGCTTTTATTTTTTTTAATTTATTGGGCTTTTGTTCATTTTGTGGGCCACGCAAAATTAAGTTTACATAAGTAACCTCGATTTTTTTTAATAAATAATGTAATTTAAATAAATATCATAAACGTGCGTACTTCCCTACACACGACCCACATGTGCGAGCGTGAGCCCATCCGTTCATACACCTCCTGGGCCCATCATGGTCAGACTAGTTGGTAACCCGATGTAAATGAACATACAATATGCACAAAATCTCCATACTTTTCATCTTAAATCATTCATGTGACACAACCCTACACATCCTTCTTATGTTACTCTGTGTAAATGCATGCCTAAACTTCCATTATTGTTGGCTTTTTAGCCATTAATCTCATATTAATTAAATAATTGATGTTTTGATGATAATAAACCTACCTTTAATTATTAACGATTTTCAGTATTTTGAACCATCCACAGTATAAGGCTAGGAATAATGATTTCATCGACTTTTCAATCACTCAAATCAGAGCTAAAACGAAGAAATTACAGTCGAGACAACACGACGTGATGACGTGGCAACTAAATCAAAATAATTCACCACACTTTTTCACACACAACTTCTATAATTCTTCGATCTTCAATGGTTCAAAATCTTCATTGTTGTTGCTCTCTCCAAACTTCTAAGTTTATTTCTCGTTCATCTTATTCTTGAGAGGGATTTTTATTGTATTGTGAGGAAATAGTTGTGATTGCTTCAAATTGTAAATCTACTCTTTGAGAGACTTGTGGTGTGTAACGACCCGAAATTTTTTACTTAATTTAAGGTCGTTACTGTATACATACCATAAACATTGAATGCGGAAGACTTCATTTAAATTCCATAAAACATAACCTTTAACTTAAAACACAACCATGGACTTACGTGTTTCGAAAATATCTTTGAAACGACACAACAAAAGACTCGAAATAAAATAAATAAACGTTTAAGTTTAAAACATCCTATTCTATCCTAAGTCTAAGAAAATAAATGCCACTATCCTATGCATGTGCCATGATCTCGAGTTGCGATGCCGTCGTCAGCCGGGAATGCCTTGCCTTAACCTGAAAAATGTAGTAGCACAAGGCTTGAGTATTTAAAGAAATACTCAGTAAGTGACCCCACTATTGGGGTTAAATGCAACAATCACATGCAATAAAATGATGGGACCTATCTTTCATTTCGTTTAATTTGTTTCGTTTCGTTTTCCCTACAGTGTAATCCTAACAGGTAATCGTGGACGTGTACCATATACTCTACACGCAGCCCATACGTGCAAGTATGGGCTCACCAGCTAGTTCGCACACCGCTGGGCCACTGTCCCTAGCCGGTGGGCATGCTATGGGGGCCCACCGGGACCCGTTAAAACTAAAACCGTCACGGCAGCGCTATGCAGGGCATAACGATCGTTGTCCTGCCATTTGGATGTACGCGTCCGTACCCTCATGATGGGATAGGGGTATCCCCCCAAATGCATGATCACACAATATGCATGAGGTCCGACTAGTCCTACATTCATCATTTAATGAACATAACCCCGTGTCACGTTTTCATGCTTACATGTCATTCTCATTCTCATTTCATTACATATCATACATATTCCTAGCGGGGTTATGTATCATGCAATTTACCGTATCTCATGTCATACAATTCATTCAGTTACATTCCAATACTCATACAACAAGTCATAATCGTACAAGGGCCACACATCGTCATATGCATTCATAACACATCAACTAAGCAGCATAAATAACATACATTCACGTTCACATGATTTCGTACTTAAGCACAATAATCTAGCATACAATGTATCATATCATAACCAAGTCATAACGTAAACACTTCATAATCATATCATTCTCTAACTTACCATAGTCTTAACGTTCTTATATCTATCACGGACATATCATTACGTGACGTACCTTAGTCATATCGTCACAAGAACGTACCCTAACGCTATCGTTCTATCAATCTATCACAAACCTATCCCTTTCTACCCATAACCTAACCGTATTCTTTCATCAATCTCTCCTATCCATAGCACTCCGGTATGTAACCTAACTCTACGTTTCATGAACGTATCTTACTCCTATCGTTACATTTCGTTTTGTGCATCCTCATCGTACCCTATCTCAAACATATCCTTGAGCACATCGTACCATAATTATTATTATACAAACCACATATTATAACATAACATAACATATAGGAAGCATATCGATCCACAGACAATTCACACATGTCAATATATATGACATGTACAGAACTATAGGGCACGTGTCAACATCAAATATAATCATGCCGATAGTAAGGTCACTTACCTCGCTAGCTTAAGTCGTTGTCACAAATATATCTTTAATGAAAGTTCGATTCCGTCCTTTGAAATCTGAGTCAACCTATATGAGCCCATGACATTAGTTTCAGGTTTGAACTCTACAACATTATTTCTCTAATTTACATTGGTCTATTGTTAAAAGTCTGAAATGTTATATATCTATAATTATATTTTTATTAAAAATCTTACTTTTCATGGTTACTGTTACATAAGAAAGTAGATACACTAATTCAAGTTATTTTTTGCCTTACTACTCTCTGTCTACCCTTTGTATTTACCCTTCCCTCTATATTTAGTTTCTGGTTTTTAATTCCAAGTCTTCTTTTTTTCTTATCGGTTGCCTTTTAATTTTGTTCTCATGTATTCCAAATTTCAAGTGAATTTCTGTTTCCAAATCTTTTCTTATCTCTCGGTGTTTCCTATTTCCTTATCTTAGTGTTCCCTGTTTAGACGTTTTCTTGGTCATTCTATCTTTAATCTATTCATTTTGCTACTGATAAAAATTTAATCTAATATTACTAGAATAGTATAAATGATTGACATTTAGTTTTTAACTCTAGACCATTGTAATAATCAGAAGATCTAACTATAATTGGTTGTGATTTTTTTAAAAAATAGGATAAAAGAAAATGAAGATTTAATATATACCTGATTGATCAGACCTATCTTCAGTAAATCTCCCCGAATCTCAATTGAGTAAAGGTCATTCTCATTTTTTTTTTCTCAAGTAAATCTGATGATTATTGTTTTTCTGTTTCTTTTTGCAGTAACTCTCATTTTCTAGCGTAAGGATGGGTTGAAGAGAGATAATTGGGGGAAGGGATGAGAAGTTAGTAGAGAGAAGAGGGGAAATGTTGTTTTTTATTTATTTATTATTATTTTAACTACTTTTTATAATTATTTTTATTTGTTTATTTCTTTATTTATTTTTGGGCTATTACATGGTGTGTTACTACCAAATTCAAATACTTGTACCGGTTTGATCCTGCGTCGTGGAAAGGATTGAGTTTTCTCTTGAACTCATAAAAAGAGCGGTGTAGCGGTTTGGCTCTGGTCCGTGGAAAGAGTCGAGAAAGTTCTTTATTCAAATTCTCAAGTGGTGCTTGGGGAGTGGAGTAGATTGAGTTTGACCGAAACACTGTAAAACTACGGTTCATATTTTCTAGTTGATTACTGTTTTGACTTGAATTATTTTGTTCGAGTAATTATCATCTTCTACTTATTTATAAAAAGTTGAATAATTAAAAAAATTAATCACGTTTAAATACTTTTATCGTTAATACCCTATTCACCCCTCTAGGTTGTCATACCGATCCAACATTTATAACATCAGAGTTGTGTTTCTAAAAACTATTCATCATAACAACATCATAATACCATATAACATACATGACACGTGCTAGGGCCACCAGACACATGTCATCATATACAAGACAAGTCTTTCGGCCGAGTCGATAGTAAAACCTAATATAATCGATCAATAAAAGCATCCAGTCAACTCTCGTTAGATATCTCATGAATTACCCCATGACCCACATTCCATCCGACACTCCTTGCCATGTAAGAACACAAGGCACAGAGAGGAAAAGCGACCACGACGAACTACCCCACGACCCAAGTCGGTTATTTCCTATTTTATCTTGTTTCAGCTATAACTTTTTTGTTTTAGCTCTAATTTGAGCAATTTAAAAGCCGTTGGAATTGTTATTCCAAACTTTACATATACCGTTCAAAATACTACCAATTGTTAATAATTAAAAGAAATTACTTAATCACTTACGAAAAACGCTATAAAATGTCTATGATGTTCTTGTTAGCTATAATATCCATTGTTTTCGTCAGTATCTTTGTTTGATTTTTTAAAAAATTATACGTCAAATTATTGGAAATAACGTTCATATTTTTTAAAATCATCTATTAAAGTTTGTTTTCATTGAGGTCTCGGGTGTCCACAATACTCCACGTCTACTAAAACGTCAAACCCTTAACCTATTTAACACACTTATAAAACATGTTACATTAAAAACATCAAAATTGAATTGCATTTTATTAAATACTAAAATAGTAAAAAATTATTTATTTTAATTTAATTACGACCACCTTTTCTCCCTCTAAAATTAATACTCTCTCTCTATCTATAAAGATTAAAGGAATAGAGAAACAAACAAGAAGATAAAGTTGGTGATTTCAATTGTCCTTTTTTTTTAATAAATAAATAATAATAAAAAAAATGAATTATGAAAATAATAATAATAATAATAAAAAATAAAGTGAATCCAAAATGGTACCATCACCTCTCCCTTTCTCTCACCATCTCTTGTCTTGCTCTATGTGTATAATTTAATTTAAGTGAGTTCTCGTAACTTCCATAGTATTTATTTTGGTCGTTAAATTTTTTAAAAATAATTATTTCGATCGTTGTTACGTCTTTACTTATTCAATCTTCGATATGTGAGATCCCACATCGGTTGGAGAGACTTATCACTATTAGATACGTTTTAAAACCTTGAGGTTGAGGAAAATACGTAACGGGCTAAAGCGGATAATATTTGCTAATGGTAGGCTTGGGTTTCTATAAATGGTATTAGAGCCAGACATCGGGCAGTGTG